CCATGTCACGTCTGATTATTCTCAGCTACAATCTCCTCATCAATACACCGGTACTGATGCTATTACCGTAGGCAATGGTCAATCCCTACCCATCACACACTCTGGCTCAGGTTTTGTCCATACTCCTAATGGTAAATACCACCTTTCTACTCTTCATTATGTCCCTTCCCTTACCTCCAATCTATTGTCTGTCCATCGATTTACCAAAGATAACAACTGCACCCTTGTTTTCAATGCCAATGATTTCCAGATAGTGGACAATCCTACCAACTAGGTTCGGTACAAGGGCCTCTGTGAGCATGGGTTATACACACTTCCCTCCAAACTTCCAACCGTTGCGTATCAAGCTATCCAAGAGTCCACCTGGCATCGTAGACTCGGTCATCCAGCTCCTGCGATTGCCAAATCTATTTTGTCTTCCTTAGGTTTTCAGTTTTCAGAGCCTTTACATTGTGAATCATGTTATGTCTCTAAGTCTTGTCGTTTACCTTTTGAATTGTCTGAACATAAGGCCACAGCGCCCTTTCAATTAATACATTCTGATGTTTGGGGTCCCACCTCTGTTCCTTCCTGTAGCGGTTTTCGATTTTATATCTCTTTTGTTGATGATTTCAGCAAATTTACCTGGATTTATCCCCTAAAACATAAATCTGAAGCTTACTCTATTTTTGTGAATTTTGAAAAAATGATTAAAATTCAGTTTAATTCTCACATCAAAATTTTTCGAAGTGATAATGGCAAAGAATTTGTAAATAATGCTTTTGGCCTTTTCCTTCAAACTTTAGGAGTCCTTCATCACACCTCTTGTCCCTACACTCCTGAGCAAAATGGGGTCGCTGAACGGAAACACCGTCATCTCATTGAAGCGGTTGTTTCTCTTCTATACAACTTTGCTCTCCCGACTACCTTTTGGGTCGAAGCTCTTGCCACAGCAAACTATCTTATCAACCGTATGCCCACCAAAACTCTCTCCAACAAATCTCCCTTTGAAACTCTTTATAACCGTCCTCCTACATATACCCACCTTCGTCCCTTTGGTTGCTTGGTCTATCCATGGCTCCGCCCTTATACTCACCACAAACTTCAACCACGCTCCACTCCTTGTGTCTTCTTAGGATATCACCCCACCACTAAAGGGTATAAATGCTATGAACCCGTGTCTCAAAAAGTTTATGTCTCTCGTCATGTTCGGTTCGTCGAGGATCAGTTTCCATAT